CACTAATCTGGTTCCATTAAAAGAGAAAGATTTCATTTGAAGGGAAGGATTCTGGTTTCTAAGCAGGGGGGACTTGAGGCCAAGAGAGAATGGGAGTGATATATTTGTGGCTACTTGTATTGTGGCTCTAACTTCTCTTGACTCAAGGAAACAAGAATTTACTCAGCACAAGTTTTTTTTTTTTTTTTTTTTTTTTTGAGATGGAGTCTCGTTCTGTCACCAGGCTGGAGTGCAATGGCACAATCTTGGCTCACTGCAATCTCCGCCTCCCGGGTTCAAGCGATTCTCCTGCCTCACACTCTCCAGTAGCTGCGATTACAGGTGCACACCACTACACCCAGCTAATACTTGTATTTTTAGTAGAGACAGGTTTCACTATGTCGGGCAGAATGGTCTCCATCTCCTGACCTTGTCATCTGCCTGCCTTAGCCTCTCAAAGTGTTGGGATTACAGGCATGAGCCACCGCATCCTAGCACAAGGTTAATAATTACAGCAACATCAGTTACCACACTTACAGCTTACAATAGGTAGACCTGCTAAAAGCATGTACTCTGTAAGGCAAGTATTAGTATTTCAATTGCACAGATGAAGATGAAGCTGAAGCTAAGAAAGATTGATTCATATGGCCCAGGTCACAATAACACAGGAGCAAATGTAAGATTTGACAGGTTTAATCTGGCTGCCATCGCTGTTCTCTTGCCACCACCCCCATGTTCTATCTGTTCACCGATATTTGGACAGCCGCCAAAGTACTAAAAATGCTAAAACTGCAAAGAAGGCACATTATGGGGGCTCCCAGGGCCACTGCTTGAGGAGGGTGCACCCAGCACAAAGGTGCCGGGCTGAGGAGGCAAGCAGGGCTGAGATAAGTCTGAGCTTGTTTGTTTTATAATTCGCACAAAGGAGCTGTTATGGGCTCGTGGTGGCATGGAACCACCGGTGGATGCAGATTGAGGAATTCCATCAGCCTCTTCACTTCTGTTTTCTGTCTATCTTTTGAGATCTCTTTGCCAATTTCCTGGAAGTGGCTCTGCCTCAAGAAAGCTTCCTCGCTCTTAAAGGTAGAGTTTACAATCCTTTGAGGCCAGTGTGAAATGCCCAGTTGTCCTGAATGTTGTCAGGAAAATGACCAGCATTCCCTCAGAAACTCATCATTATGAAAATTAGACACAGACCATTCATTCACATGTATGGCAAATCTGGGATCCTCCTTAGTGGGTGTAGCTAGAATAAAAAGGTTCACATGAAGGCCTGGGATTTGAGAGCTGAAGCTACCTGTACCTCTCTCTTACACTTTGGAAAACAGAACCTGAACATTTTTCAAGGTCTCTTGAGAGTGGGCCTCAAGGTTTGGGGCTTCTTTTCAATCTGTCACAGTCATAGTCACAGTAGCTTATAAATGTTTGTTGCATGAATGACATTTGAAGTAAGATATTTATCCCAATAAATCAGTAATGTGGGAAATATGTAGTCTGCCTGATATGAACCCTTCAAAGGAAGAAAAAGGACTGATAGGGGAGTCAGGCAACTCTGGCTTTTCTCTTTCCATCTCTGACACGGCTTTTGGGTGTGACATTGAGCAAGTCATCGACCAACTGTAGAATACAGATTTAAAGAAATGATGGACTCAATGACAGCTCCAAATGCCTTCATGCTGGTACGGCGCTTTTTTAACCACGCATATTCACACAGTAGCAACATGTTTCATGGCATTTTGTAGCTAGATGCGAGTTTCATGATCCCTTGGTCTACTTACCTCATGTGATGAATGCTCTTGATAAAGAAGACAGGACGGGCTGGGCATGATTTCTCACATCTGTAATCCCAGCACTTTGGAAGGCAGAGGTGGATGGATCACTTGAGGCCAGGAGTTTAAGACCAGCCTGGCCAATATGGTGAAACTCCCTCTCTACTAAAAATACAGAAAGTAGCTGAGCATGGTGGCACACACACTTGTAGTTCCAGCTACTTGGGAGGCTGAGGCACAAGAATCACTTGAACCTAGGAGGCAGAGGTTGCAGTTATCCTTAATCCTAGATCACTAGATCCTAGTGAAGTGCACTTTACTCTAGCCTGGGCAATAGAGTGGGACGCTGCCTCAACAAAAAAAAAAAAAAAAAAAAAAAAAAAAAAAAAAAAGGACAAGTGTTATTATCTCCTCTTACACACTAAAATACTAAGGCCCTAAGGGGTGAGTCACTTGCTATGAAAGAGGCAAGCTCTGCCTCATCTTTCTACAACACCATGCTGTCTGCCAGATTGTACTGGGTCCAGTACAAATTTCACCTGTCTGGTCTAGCCTTATCCAGTGTTCTGTTGCTTTGTTCAAACTGGAGACAGAAAAGCAATAGCTAGTGTTTGTCTAACTGTAGCCTTCAAACGTCTGCACTACAGTGTTACATTGTCCTTGACCTTTATTTCCCTCATATTGAGCACAGAATGCTTCTCAGATAAATGTAAGTCTCGTTCTGCTTTACTTTTTTACCAAAGAGAGAGTGTACATCAAGAAACATGGAAACCAGGCAGCTTCCCTTCTCCAAGAATAGTTTCAGGGCCCAATAAGACCGGGAAACTGGGGTCAGAAGCAGAAGAGTCACAGCTCAGTAAGTTATTCTATTGATGATGGGTATGACAACCGTCAATAACAATAATGACAAGACCTACATTTATTAAGTGTCTTCAGTGCACTAAGGATTTGACAGATATTGTCTCATTTAGGAAATGAAATATCTAAAAATGGAAGTTCAAGAAATTAGCAGTTTTAGAAAGAAGCTGTAGGAAGGGGAAAAAGGAGTTATGGAGTCTAAGAGCGGAAGCAGTGTTATGTGGAAAACTGTGAAGGTGGAACATAAGGACTGAGCCTGCCATGGCAGCAGCCCCTACAGCTGCCTTGTATCCACAAAACAAATAATTTAATCAAAAAGTGGGCAAATGACATGAATAGACATTTCTCAAAAGAAGATACACAAATGTCCAACAAACACGAAAAATGCTCAACCTCACTAGTTACCAGGGAAATGCAAGCTGAATCCACGAGATACCGCCTTACCCCGGCCAGAACAGGTCTGTCATAAACAAAGGCAAAAAACATCAAATATGGGCATGGAGGTGGTGAAAAGGGAACATGTACACACTGCTGGTGGGAATGAAAATTAGCACAACCTCTATCGAACACAGGATGGAACTTCTTAAAGAACTGAAAGTATATCTACTATTTGATCCAGCAATCCCACTACTGGGTATCTTCCCAAAGGGAAGGAAGTCATTGTCTCAAAAAGACACCTGCACGTGTACGTTTACTGCAACACAATTCACAATTCCAAAGATTTGGAAGCAATTAAGTGTCCACCAACCAATGAGTGGATAAAGAAAATGTGGCTTATATTTGGAATATACACCATGGAATACTACTCAGCCATAAAAAAAAATGAAATAATGTCTTTTGCAGCAACTTGGATGAAGCTGGAGGCCATTATTATAAATGAAGTTACTTTGGAATGAAAAAAAATCAAATACCACATGTTCTTACTTATAAACGAGAGCTAAGCTACGGGTATGCGAAGGTATGCTGAGTGGTCTAATGGATTCTGGAGACTCAGAAGAGGGAGGGTGGGAGGGGAGTGAGGGATAAAAAAACTACATATTGGGAATGATGTACACTACTCAGGTGACATGAGCACTAAAATCTCAGATTTCACCACTATGCAATTCACTCATGTAACCAAAAACACTTGTGACTCAAAAGCTATTGAAATAAAAAAGTTAAAAAATATATAAAATCCTTGATAGTATCAGCAGATTCTGGGCTTCTCAACAAGAATTGGAAGAGAGAAGGGAGAGGAAAAAGGAGCAAGAGTCATTGGTTACATTTCATACAGTCATTAAAACGATCATTTTTCAAGATCTGGCTTCGGGTTCTCTAGTAAATGGCAAAATTAAGAGCATTCTTCTACAGATTACCTACTTGAGATTTTTCTTCCCTGAGCCTTGCAAATTAAAAAATCATAAATGTTCTAACCAGGCCATTGACATTTATTTTCAATAATTGCAAAGGGACTTAAATAACATGTTAAAGGCATGTTAATACTCTACAAGTTAACTCACTGTGACTTGAAGTTAATACTAATTTGTAGAATTAGCTACATGGAAAATAAATAAGTTCATGGAACAAATGGGGAATCTGAGATCCCTTTCCCCAAATCCAGGGTCTAGCAGAGCATATAGGAAGTGAGGCAAACTAGCACAACCCTCCAACTTAACACATTCAGTGGCATTTGGAGCTGTGGTGGGGAAAAGAGGCTCCCTAGTTAATTTCACACTTCCTCCTCCATACATTTCAAAAAGCAAGGTGTGACTCATTTCAAAAACAAGGTGCAGCTGGATTTTTAAAAAAAGACTTTCCCTAGGATAAATGCCAGGTATTCGGCAAACTCCCTGGTTTAAAGGAGTTTTCTGTTTCATGGTATCTTCTTGCTATGGGGAATTCCAAATCTGCTCAGTAACAGCAAGGCTTTTATGCTTCCAGCAGGATGTTTCCTGCTCTTTCAGACTCTAGGCTTACTGAAGTTGCTGCCTCCGTCATTCTGAGTGTAGGCATGTTGGGGGCATGTCTGCACTCTATACAACCCAGGGAAATTTACTAGGGTGGCATCCACTGGATACCTAATGTGTGTTGTACTCCCAGCAACCCTAGGAAATAAAAGCTGTTGTTGTCTGTTGGACACATTAGGGAATCAAAGCTCAGAGGGGTTACCTTGTCCCTAGACCATGCTGACTCTCTGACAATACACTCCATCTGTGCTGAAATATCTAGCAGGTCTTGATGGAGGGGATGGAAGCCCTCTAGGGTCACTTTGCTACTCTCCACCGGGGGCCTCAGCCACCCCCTCCTTGCTGTGGATGCCCCAGGTTTGTTTTCTTTGGCTCCCTCATTAATGAGTTCCACAGCACAATGCTAAGTCTAGTTATGCAGCCTTAATTGGTTTAGTTACAACAAGATAATTCCTTTTTTCTTCTCTTGGAGGCCTTTCTGTTTAAAGACATTTTAGCTGGAAGATGCTAATTATCAATGAGGAGAAAGTGACACCTGAAGAGTTCATTTTCCATCTTCGTCTTTGGTTTTTCCTTTGAACTCTCTTTACACGGCCCTCTTTCCCACTTCATCACTTCTCCCCCACCATCATAAAAGAGAGCTCTTCCTTGGCCAGGCGGCAGAACTTTCTCACTTGCCAGGGAGCCATTCCCTCTGCAGCTGTCTCGCAGGCATGGACAACCTGCATGAGACCTTTCTCAGTCTCGAGGATGGCTTGGGCTCCTCTGACAGCCCTGGGCTGCTGTCTTCCTGGGACTGGAAGGACAGGGCAGGGCCCTTTGAGCTGACCCAGGCCTCCCCTTCTCAGAGCCTTTCCCCAGCTCCATCACTGGAGTCCTATTCTTCAACTGTGGCTGGGCTGCCCTGTGAGCATGGTGGGGCCAGCAGTGGGGGCAGTGATGGCTGCAGTGTCGGTGGGACCCGTGGCTTGGTAGAGGTGGACTACAATATGTTAGCTTTCCAGCCCGCCTACCTCCAGGGTGGTGGTGGCCCCAAGGCCCAGAAGGGCACCAAAGTCAGGATGTCTGTCCAGCGGAGGCGGAAAGCCAGCGAGAGGGAGAAGCTCAGGATGAGGACATTGGCAGATGCACTGCATACCCTCCGGAATTACCTGCCACCTATATACAGCCAGAGAGGCCAGCCGCTCACCAAGATCCAGACACTCAAGTACACCATCAAGTACATCGGGGAACTCACAGACCTCCTCAACCGCGGCAGAGAGCCCAGAGCCCAGAGCGCGTGAGCTCTGTCCGGGGAAGCTGACCAGTTCCAGCCTCCTGAGCAGGAGTAGAGGAGCTTCGAAGACCTGGACGTCTTGCTGAACAATGACTGGCATAGAGCAATTTTTATGTAGTAATCGTGGTAATCCTGTGATCTGAAAAACCCTAAGGGAATTCACATCTGACCTGCTGGACCCACCAGAACACTTACCTGCCAGATGAGCAGACACTTTTGCCTCCAGTTTATTCCACCATCTCTGGGAGGCTCATCCTTTGCAAAGAGACAGATTATTTTGCCCTTCTCTGTCTTTCAAGGTATTTGAGAGGGTCAGTGATTTTAAATGCATTTTTTCAGTGACGTAAAAGTGTTGCAGTAATCTCCTGCCATTTCGGTGTTGAGAACTTTTCTTCTGTTGATAACTAAACCTGTATTTTGTATAGGATCCGGGGTGATACCTGGATTCTTATTTAGAAAGATTTGTGCCAGGTAAAGGGCTTTAGTGCTCCTCTTTCATTTTGTATGTGTATGTGTGTGTGTGTTTGACTGAAATCATGCTCTTTTAGGGACCAAAATCACTGAAATGCAGAAGGCACTGGTGTCGTGATGAATGGGAAGTCATAGGCAGACAGGCTAAGTTAAGACAGTGAACATCCCAAAGGCCAGAGCCTCCTCTGCATAGGCAGACAGCTTGTGTGACAGGGAAGGAGGGTATGGGAAGGAGGAGGAGGAGAAGAGGCAGAGGAGACAGCACCTCAGGGTGGGCCTGAAGCAGGCTGGGTGGGCAGGGGCTCCCTTCCTTTGTCCTGGGCGGGGTATGAATAGGAACTTATTTAGCGCTTTCACTTACTTGTTTGTCAAATAAGGAGATGGTCTCGGAAAAAAAAAAAAAGCCATTTGAATCCCATGGAGAATAAGTAAAAGGGTCAGTGTTCGACTCAACAGTCTCTGACCCCTCTGAAGGCAGTTACTTCTTCATCTTCCCCTTCTATCCATCTTCCTCCCCCCAGCCCCAGATACCCCACATGCACCCATCACACCCACACACCCTCTTTACAGTGCCTTGTCTTAGGGTAGGTATCTCTAGCACCCTCAGTTTAGCTCATTTGAATGGCACAGGACATTGAAAAGGGGGCTTTGAATTAAGGAGGTTCTTAAAACTAGTGAGGTTTTTAAGGCTAAATTTTCCTCCTTATGGTTATTAACCATTAGTATTTGTTGTACCATGCCTCCTATCTTTTTTTCCATTGGTGATTTTCTTCTTTTTAGTGACATAAATTACAAAAGCAATAGATGTGTTCACTATTTCTCCATTTTTTTGCTGATGCAAATATATACACATATGTATAACTTGTCCGTTTTTTTATAAAATAAATACAAACATATACAAATAAATATAAGCATACATAAATGTTAAAGAAAGAAACCTGAAAATTCCCTTTTAAACTTAACAATATATAGTAAAAGTTCTTCCAAGTTAGCACAAATAAATCTGTGGTGTAAATACTGTTACTACCTTAAGTGTGTAGATGGGGAAACTGATGATGATGGGCTGAGTCACACATGAGAAAAGTATAACAGAAAACAGAGGTTCCAGCAAGTTACCACAGAAGAGATTCTGCAAAACTTTAGTGAGTCACCTTTTCAATGATTTTAAAGTTGTTTTCAGTTATTTTTTATGACAAAAAATATTATAACAAAGATTATAGACAACTAGCTTTATCTACTGATGTGTTTATTAGCTTGAAAAATTCCCAGAAATAGGATTCTTGGATCAGAGCATGCACATTTTAAATTTTAATAAATATTGTTATGTCACTTTTATAAAAGTTTGCAGTTATTTATACTCCTTCTAGTATTACGTGACAGAACCAGTTGCCCCACATTTTCATTGGATATTATCAATCTTATGACTTTTTGATGGATGAAAATGGTGATTTCACTGTTGTGTTGATTTTAACTGTCCTGTCTATCATTTGAGGTGGATCGTCTTTATGTGACCGTTGTTCATTTTGGTTCCTTGTTTAAAACTTGCTATTTTATGTTCTTTGTCATTTTTCTATTGGCTTGTTTATCTTCTTAATTTGGGAGAGTTATTTGTTTATTATTTATTGGAATATTCCCTTCCAATCTTTTTATCCTATTTTTTCTTTTTTATTGATGTATAATATTTATGCATATTTACAGGGTACATTTGATACTTTGTTACATGCATGGAATGTGTAACGGTGTAATGATCAAGTCAGGGTATTTAGGCTGTTCTTCACCTTGAATATTTACCATTTCAGGAACATTTCAAGTCCTTGCTTCCAGTGATTTTGAAATATACAATTCATTGTTATTAACTGTAGTCATCCTATTCTGCTGTCAAACACTAGAACTTATTTATCTATCTAACTCTATGCTTATACCCATTAACCCACCTCTATTTATCCCCTGCCACCCCTCCTGCCACCCACACTCCCTTCCCAGACTCTGTTTTCTAGCATTCTACTCTCTTTTTCCTTTCTTTTTTTTTTAACTCTGTTGCCCAGGCTGAAGTGCAGTGGTGCAATGATAGCTCACTGCAGCCTCAAACTCCTGGGCCCAAGCAATCCTCTCACTTCAGCCTCCTGAGTAGCCGCGACTATAAGTGTGTGCCCCATGCCCAGTTAATTTTTGTATTTTTTGTAGAGTATGCTTCCCAGGCTGTCATTCTACTCTCTACCTCCATAAGATCAACTTTTTTTTAACTCTCACATATGAGTGAGACATGCAATATTTATCTTTCTGTGCCTGGCTTATTTCACTTAACATATTGACTTCCAGCATATTCATTTTGATGATGTCCTTTTCTCCCCCTCCTTTTTTTTTTTTTGCAGCGGAGTTTTGCACTTGGTGCCCAGACTGGAGTACAATGGTGTGATCTCAGCTCACCGCAACCTCCGTCTCCTGGGTTTAAGTAGTTCTCTTGCCTAAGCTGCCCAAGTAGCTGGGATCACAGGCATGTGCCATCATGCCTGGCTAATTCTGTATTTTTAGTAGAGATGGGTCAGACTGGTCTCAAACTCCTGGGCTCAAGGGATCTGCCTGTCTTGGCATCCCAAAGTGCTGGGATTACAGGCGTGAGTCACTGTGCCTGGCAATGATGTCTTATATTTATAATTTTGATTATGGCATCTTTTTGAAGCTTTTGATTTTTATATAAGCAAATCTGGTTTTTGTTTCATGGGTTATGTGTTTTTCCCGCTTGCTTAATTTTCCCCAGTTTCAAGGTTGTTCAAATGTTACTTTGATTTTTTGCAAATACTCTTACAGTTTTATTTTTTATTTATGGGTCTTCAACATACCTGCAATTCATTTTTGTCTATAGCATGTGGAAGGAATCTAATTTTATTTCCTTGTAGCTTGTCATCAAGGGTTGGTGGGTGGTGGTGAACACAGTTGCTAAGATGTCAATCTATGTATATAAACTTTCATGAGCTTCTCATATACTTGGTGTTTTAGAGGAAAATCTAGAAAACACTGAATAATGTGAAGACTTTCTCCAAGGAACTCTATCGCATGCATGATAGGTATTCATGTGAGACTGTATGTGTGTGCACATTATATGTATTTGTTCACCTGTGCGTGTGTTCATGGATGTGTATGTGTGGGTTGTATTTTTTTGTGTGTTGGAGAAGGAGGAGGATACTGTGGTAAGGGAGAACCAGCTGGTCTAAAAATCAACTTTCAGTTCAAATGCTATTTTCCTCACTATGGTTAAATGAGTAGAACTCAAATGCTCTTGGCTTTGATTTTTCAAGCTCAACCATTAACAATGGTTTATAAATAACTTGGGCACTTTTGGTTGTCCTGGGCACCAAATACCGTGAATGAATTAGGAGGCATTTCCTGTCCTCAGTTTCAAAAAATCCCTTAAAGCCACAGACTCACCTATTAGCTGGGTATGCCCTCAGGACTTTTTTTTTTTTTTTTTTTGAGATGGAGTCTCACTTTGTGGGTAAGGGATCCACTGAGAGGTAGGTATCTGCAAAACCAGGAGAAGATGGCAGCTTCCTGGGAGGGGACCTGTGGTCTAGAGCCTCGTGTCACCCACACCCACTTCCTAGCCTCTGTTATCTATCATTCTACTCTGTTTTTCCTCCGAGTCCTTCCCAGATTGTCAGGCTGCAGCCACACCTGCTGTACAGGATAGGCAGCTGTATATGAGTGTTTGACTCCTGCCATCTCCTCCCTTGTAGGGAGGATAGCTGGAATAGGTCCCTCATTCCTCCAGGGAGTGTTTCAAAGCATCTGCCCTGGGCAAACTCAAGACTAGGAGTGAGTTATTTCTGGTGCTTGGACAGGGAAAGGGTTGCAGAACCACAGTTCACGTGTGCCTACTGTGGTCAGTGCTTCTACATTTATTATTTCATGTAACTTTCCTAACAACCTTAGGATATGGGCCTTGTTCATATTTTGAGGACAAGGAAACAAGTTTAGGCCAGTTAAGCAATGCAAAGCCACCTGGTCAGGTAGGGGCCCATGTCTGACTAGTTAGCTCATGAGTTCAGCTGTAACTCCAAAGCTCGGGCTTCTTCCCCCGGTCACGTCACCTTTTCTACTCTGATGACGCTGCAGGCACAGGGCTTGGCAGTGGGAGAGCATTCTAAACAAATGCTCACTCTTGGGGCCTCTCCACTTTTTCTCTGCTTCCCTACCTCTGGGCCCTCATCTTTCACCATGGGAAGCATTTCATAAGGGGCTATTCATCTTGTCCTTTAAATTATTTCCCTTTGAACTTCTGCCTCTGCCCTGAACATTTTCTCAGAAATTCTCTTCATTTCCTCTGCTGGCACCTAGAGTTTTTCTTAATCTGCAGAGGAAATCTGACTTCTGTTCATTTGTGTTCAATAAAGTGTTCCACAATTCACACTGGGCTGAGGTTTCTTTGTTCTGCTCGTAGTTTCTGCCACATTAGCTAATTGGGAGAGAGGCCAAATCGGGTGGAGGGATTCTCTGCAAATTGTCAAGTCCACAGAATTACCCTTACATGAAAATCGTGTCTGTTTTTAAGCAACAGCAAAAGAAGATGTATTTGCAGATGCACTTGGGCTTCTAAGGTTATTACAATGGTTCAGTATGCTAGGTGTCTACATCAGGGTTCATTAGATTCTTCCGACACTACCTGCACATTCCAGGCTGCAGGAGGATCCTTGACTGTGTGCTCAGCCCAGGCTGACTGGACAGGAACCAGAGCCTGGTTCTCTCTTTTCGCCCTCCTGCTAGGAATGTGAGACAGTCTCTTGCCAGTGAAATATTGAGGCTGCTTCAGCTTCAATAGAGCAGACTTAGAGCTTCTGAGAGCAGCCTGGAAGGTCTTGCTCTTGATATTTTGGTCCCATAGAGACCCTTGAACTCCAAGGAAGAAGAAAGCAGAAAAACTTCCAAGAAGGCTGGAGAAAAAGGACAATGATTTGTTTGTCTCTAGGGTTTGCCAACTATTGACCTTCTCTCCATTAGTTACGTTCTTCTCCACATGAATGCTACTGACTTGTGTTTCTTTTCATTAAATTAAGTGGAGAGGCCTGGCAGGGCTGGAGGTCAGGGAGCCCATGAGAGAGAGGTATATTTAGAAAGCACAGCCGTGGGCTGTTTCCAGCCCAGTAAACAGCAGTGTGGAACTGTCATCTGAGGTGTCAAGGCTCTGCGCCAAGAACTCTATATGTTTTCTGCTTTAATCTTGATAGCTAATGCTACACAGTAGCTAATATTAGC